CAATATTGATTTTTATATAGAGTATTTTGTGCAAATACTCATAAAGATATGAATAAAAAATAAATTTATATAAAAAGACTTATCATTTTGTTAAAAAATTGTAGAATCTATATAAATTTAGATAATAAATATCAAATTTTGTAAAACAAATATGTGATCAATAATTTTGAAAAAATTTAGATTTCACAAATTTATTACACGTGTTTATCTATAACGAAAATATTCCAAAAGAATACGCTAAATTCTAGATCAAGTATTTAAATGAAAATATTTATATATATCATCATATGGTTCACTTTCATATTAAACATTTGAAAATGATGTTTGAATTTGTATAAATAGAAATTGTGAGTATAAATCATGGGACAATTATAAAAATGTCACTTTTTGTATGCACATTTGCAAGAATGCTACTTAGGAGTGTCCATTTACAAAAAAAGACAATTACAAGAATGCCACTTTTTTGTGCGCACATTTGCAAGAATGCCACTTAGGGGTGTCTATTTGCAAAAATGCCACTAATTATAGATTTATAAAACATATATCTTAAAATTCTAAACCCTAAAAAATATTTTGACCCCTAAAACCCTCTAAACCCTCATAACTAAAACCTAATAGAACATAATTAACCCAAATATAAATAATATAAAGAAAAAATAATTTTGAAAAAGTGGCATTTTTGTAAAGATTTCAAAAGTGTGGCATTTTTGTAAAGTGGCACTTGAAAAGTGGCATTTTTAAAAATTTCTCTTACAAAAATGCTACTAATTATATATTTATAAAGTCTATATCTTAAAATTCTAAACTCTAAAAAAATTTTTGACACCTAAAACCCCCTAAACACTCAAAACTAAACCCTAATATAACATAGTTAACCCAAACATAAATTATATAATGAAAAAATAATTTTGAAAAAGTGGCATTTTTGTAAAGATTTCAAAAGTGTGGCATTTTTGTAAAGTGGCACTTGGAAAGTGGCATTTTTGTAAAGTGGCACTTGGAAAGTGGCATTTTTTGAAATTTCTCATAAATCATAAACATCATTTGGGTATATCAATGTTAGTATATATATATTAAAATAATTTTAAAAATCATATAAATAGTTGTTCCGCACAACGCGTGGATTTTCACTACTAGTATTATAGATTAGAGTGTTTAGGATGCTTCTTGTTCTTCTTTTATCAGCAAATTATTATTTTTTTGTTAATACTTTTTATCCTATTGTGAACTAAATCATTCTAAAAAATATACATGGAACATTCCGGTGAAGATAAAATTATTTGGGATCTAAATAATTCTAAAAAATATACATGAAGCATTCTAGTGAAAATAGAATTATTGGAGATCTAAATAATTCTAAAAAATATACATGCTAATATTTTGAACACAAAATAATTCGAAAAATAACAATTTAATTTTAGATAAATTGTATATAACTTTTATATATTTATATTAAATATAGTTTATATCTTCCTAATTATTTCATATAAATAAAAAATTGTTTTTCTTTAATAAAGTATGAAAATTTGTAAGAGATTATAACCATAAGAAAAATAGAAAACAACAAACGTTTAAAAAACAAAAGAAAAGGAAAAGATAGAGTACTTGATTTATGTTGTAAGAATTTTTTTTTTTTTTACGAAAAGTAGCTCATATTAATCTTTAATATGTCGATGTCGAATTCTGTTTTTATACAAGATACAATGTGAAGAATTTTTTTTTTAAAAGACTATCAAATAGGGTCTTTAACTTTTTATGAGAAAAATCTAATTTTTATAATAGATTGTGTATTGGATTTGACACGTTTACGTATATAAAATAATAAAATGGTAGAACTAAATTTTCAACAATT